TGTCAATTATTCTCAAAGGAAAACTTATGAGAAGACAGGACTAAATAAAATGTATATTCTTTACCAATAGATTAGTCTTTAAGATTATATTTGAATTCATGGCAAGAGAAACCTAGAGGGGAGTTTTTAAAGGCAATTATATACAAATGTCATTAGAAATACTGAAAGTTGATTAAGAGAATTTGTATTTTCTTTTGAGTGTTATAAATCTGAATTAGTTTAATTTGTCTTAATAAACACTATAAATCAACTTAATCATGCGCATTCTGTATAATTCCTCACCTAACTGGATTTAAATCTGGTCTTAAAAATGTATATTTACAGCCGAAACTGGTGTGGCTCAGTGGATAGAGCATTGGGCTGTGGACTAAACGGTCCCAGGTTCGATTCCAGTCAAGGGCATGTACCTTGGTTGCGGACATATCCCTAGTAGGGAGTGTGCAAGAGGCAGCTGATTGATGATTCGCTCTCATCGATGTTTCTAACTCTCTATCCCTCTCTCTTCCTCTCTGTAAAAAAAAAAATCAACAAAATATATTTTAAAAATGTATATTTACATTTTTAATTGTTTAAAAAAATACCTATACTAGCTATGTCTACATAATATAATTTTCTTTTTCTTTTTGGTCAAATGCAGAAAAGTTAATGGACTGGAACTTAGGTTCCCCTGAGATTACTGTTAAAAAAATTTAAAATAATGCTAAAGCCAAGAGCTAAAAAACTAAATACATCTTCTGAAACAAAATTTTGAATTGTGGCTTAAAAGAGTGTGTGTGTGTGTGTGTGTGTGTGTGTGTGTGTATGTGTGTGTTTGTATGTAGAAAGAAAAAGAGGTAGGGAAGAGGGAGACAGCATTCACTATGCTCTTCTTGCTATTAAAAAAAGAATAAGAAGCCTCATAAAAATTTTTTAGGCCTCTGTCATCATCCTACCAACAATAATCACTGAGAAGAATGGAAGGTACATATTGCCACTCCTTAATGAATAACAAAGTGACTAATGGTAGCCCTGGGTATTGAAGAAATTTAAAAACACAATGAGAAAACCTGCCTTAGGTTGATATTAATTACTATTATCATTGAATTCCATTGCTCAAATTGTTCTCCATGGTAGGGTAAGGAGTCATTGTCTGCTGGCAATGTTTTTCTCTGTCTGAAAAATTTCATAAGAAAATACAATGTCCTGTGTCAGCAACACTAAACTCCTTAAAGGTCAAAAGATTTGGGGCTCCTAAGGACATGGAAATGTTTGCTAGGCTTTATCTAAAGGTACAGTGAAAACTATAGAGGCTATATCCCAGATCCCTTACACCAGTGTTTCCCAAACTTCTCTCATGATGAGACTCACCTGGTGGAGTTGTTAAACTACAGATTCCTGAATCCCAACTAAGAAGTGCTAAACTAGAATTTTGGGGAACATATAGGTAAAATTGTATACTTAACTTAGGAGTCCTATTTGTTCCCAAAATTTTACCTATATGTTCCCCAAAATTCTAGTTTAGCACTTCTTAGTTGAGATTCAGGAATCTGTAGTTTAACAACTCCACCAGGTGAGTCTCATCATGAGAGAAGTTTGGGAAACACTGCCTTACACTAATCTGATAGTGGAATGTATGTTTCCATTTTGGTATGAGATGGGAGTAGGTAAAACACAAACATATATGGGAAGATCAGGGTTGTTGTTTTTTAAATATATTTTTATTGATTTCAGAGAGGAAGGGAGAGGAAGAGATAGAAACATCAATGATGAGAGAGAACCACTGATCGACTGTCTCCTGCACCCTCCCCCCCGCCCCGACTGGGGATGGAGCCCACAACCCAACATGTGCCCCCAAACAGAATTGACCCTTTAGTCTGCAGGCCAATGCTCTATGCACTGAGCCAAACCAGCAAGGGCTGAAAATAGGTCTTCTGAGTGCTTATTCTGAAGTTCTTTAAAAATCTGGCCAAAACAATCTCATTTATTTATTTATTTATTTATTTATTTATTTAAATATATTTTATTGATTTTTTACAGAGAGGAAGAGAGAGGGATAGAGAGTTAGAAACATTGATGAGAGAGAATCATCGATCAGCTGCCTCTTACACACCCCCTACTGGGGATGTGCCCGAAACCAAGGTATATGATCTTGACCGGAATCGAACCCGGGACCATTCAATCTGCAGGCTGATGCTCTATCCACTGAACCAAACCGGTTTTGACAACAATCTCATTTTAATATACCAGTTTACATAATAAGCAAGTCAGAACATCTGCAAGGCAAGATGTTTTCCTTTATGCAGCCAGCAAAAACAGCTCTGAGCTTAGGTTGTAATGATAAAAGGATTTTGGAGCAGCTGACTTGAGGGAATCATAAAAAGGACCCAACCTTATGCCCCAAGGTGAAAAGAATATGCAGAGTCTGCACTGTGCTTCTAGTGTCAGGACAAATCATTCTGAGTAACTGATGCCAATGGATGAGTAAAGGGAGAAATAAAAGTACAGACTAAGACCTGTGGCGTGGTTAGGTGAATAACACCCCTATTACAAAATCATGAGTTCTCATATTCATTTTCTAAATTCCTTGAGATGAATTTATATCATTTTTGAAAAATTTAGGAGTGGCATACATATTAATTACGTGGCGGCTCCAAATTTTCTGCTGGTTTAAATTGTGAGAGATATCACAGATCACAGCCCCCATTAAAAAAATCTGTGGCCTTTTTTGGAAAGGTAAGTGCAGGGGTGAAAGAAGTATCTGATGCATTCCTTTAAGTCAATTAGGGAATGATGAATATAGTTGCTATTCTATATAATAAAAGCCTAATATGAAATTGCCCCCCCCTCCCCCCAGATCGTTCAACTGCTTGCTATGACATGCACTGACCACCAGGGGCGGCACAGAACATGGTGGGGGTCAGTGACGAAGTGGCACTGGCAGCAGGGGGCAGTGGAGGGGCTGCCGGCACCAGGGGCCCTGACAAGAGTGGGACTGTGGTAGGATGGTGGAGCAGACAAGTAGGCAGCACCATGTCAAGAGGCCTACACTGCACTCTGGCCTGCAGCCATGCTCACCATATCTCTGTGTGGGGACTCCAGCGCTGTTGACTCAGGTGGAGGGGACCCCAAGGCCCCGGGTCCAGAGGTCAGCTGGGACCAAGCCTTCCCTGACAGATGCTGGTGCTTCGATCGCCTGCCAGGTGTAGGGACCACACCCATTCAAGATTTTCATATAAAGTAACAAATAGACTGCTTCTTAGATACTAGCACTGTTCTCATCTTCTGTAATGAATTCTCATTTAATCCTCTAATCCTTAGGAGGTCGGTATTATAACCCCATTTTACCCAGGAGGAAACCAAGGCACAGAGACACTACATTACAAAACACATGAAAGAATGGCGCCAGAATTTGAACCCCAGCCATTTGACTCCCACATTTGTTAAATCCTCCTGGGTCCTGACCACTTCTAAGCCCGTTAGAAAGGTGTCAGTTCAGAGACAGTGTCAACGTTTAAAAGGGCCATTCATTCACTAGGACTGAGAACTCTGGCCCCTTAAAATTCCCACCTTCCTGGTGACTCAGAAATTACTCAACTGTCTTTCCCTAAACGCAATACTCCACCCGCTTTACTTGTTTGTTGCCCAGCAACAGACCATCGCTGCACAGGAAACAGAGAGGGTATTTCAGCGACAAGGATGTCGCTGCCCAGGATTCAGCAAGACCAGGTCTGCTTTCAAACCTCTGCATTAGGCAATGACATAATCTTATAATCTTAGGGACTAGAGGCCCAGGGCACAAAATTTGTGCAAGGGGTGTGTGTCCCTCTCCCAGCCTGCACCCTCTCCAATCTGGGACCCCTTGAGGCATGTCCAATTAGGATCGGGCCTACACGGGCAGTAGGACATCCCTCTCACAATCCATGACTGCTGACTGCCCACCTGCCTGCCTTCCTGATTGTATCTAACTGCTTCTGCCTGCCAGCCTGATCACCCCCTAACCACTCCCCTGACAGCCTGATTGATGCCTAACTGCTCCCCTGCCATCCTGTTTGCCCCTAACTGCCCTCCCCTGCAGGCCTGGTCCCCCCATCTGCCTTTCCCTGCAGGTATGATCACCAACTACCCTCCCTTGTAGGCCTGGTCCCTCCCAACTGCCCTCCCGTGCTGGCCATGTTGTGGCGGCCATCTTATGTCCACATGGGGGCAGCCATCTAGTGTTGGAGTGATGGTCAATTTGCATATTACTCTTTTATTGGATAGGATGTGTTCTGATTTCTCTGCTGTACCACCGCAAACACCCTTGGGAGGCATTTTCTCTCACATTTGAAGCCAAACTGAGGAAAATCTAACTTTTGGGGTAAGATACAGCAGAACCTTTGTGACTGGACCGCAAAGGCCAGAAAAAACGAGCTCAACTGGGTGGATTCTCAACAGGCCATTAACCCAGCGCTGCTCTTCGGTGGTCTCGGCCTTTGGGGAGTTTACGAGCTGTAAATTCAACCCACAGACCTCCCTGAGGCTCTCGGTCCTGTCAAGTCCGAGGAAAGGTCTGCGCTGTGGTGAGCAAGGAGCCCAAACACAAACACAGCGAAGCAGGAAGGAAAGTTCCGCACGAAAAGAAGAGGGAGGGAAAGTCGCGAAGAAAAGCGCGCTCCCGCAGAAATGGATCATGGGCTCCGACGCTCAGCCCCGCCTACCTGACGCCGCAGAGGCTCGCTGCTGCGCGCGCAGCCCAGGGCGGTGGGCGGAGCAGGACCGTGCGTGCGCGCCTGTCAGTTTGACCAATCACGCGTCTCTGCCGCCTCTTCCTTGGCCTCGCCCCGCCCCTCCAGGCCCCGCCCCTCCCCTCCTTGGCCCCCTGGTGGAGACTCCTGGCCGCCGCTCTCCAGAGCTGGGTGAAGCCGAGCTGCGCGCGTCAGTCAATCTGGCCAATCGCGCGCGGTTCCCGCCTCCCGCGAGGCCCGGCCCCTGGGACGCGAGCAGCCCTGGCCCGCGCTGGGCGGGTGTCCATCGCCGTGGGGATGGCGGAGGGAGGTAGCGTCCGGGGCCGCGGGTAGCTGTGTGGAAGCTGACCTGCCTTGGGGGCCGCTGTGCAGACGCACTGCGCTGCCTTTCCGCGGTCAGGGGCCCCCTCCACCTCCCCTCGGGCCCGGGGCCTCCAGGGCTAGGGTGGTTTCCTGCAATGGTGGGAGGGGAGGGAGGACTCCTCTGTCACACCCCCTTCCTCCCCGTAAACTTGGTGCCTTTGTTTCGGGGAAACAAACTAAAGTGGACTCTGCTTTGCGGGGTCTTTTCGCTCTTTAAACGGAAATGGTGCAGGCAGGCGTACGTTTATTTGCTTTTGTGTTCCTTAACCCTGGGTCCTGGAGGGTCATTGGTTCTCATCGCACAGCCTTTAAGGTTCAGGGTGGTGGGACAGGACTGTCTGGTCATGTTCTTTGGCGGCAAGATTTCAATTGTATTTCCTCTGCTTATGAAGCTGGCAGAACGAAATAAAAGAATTGTTAACTCTCCAACGTTGTTCTCCTCCCCATATGGCAGGCTTTTGAATATGAAAACAAATGGAGACGCTAGCTAGTTAATTTGTCATGAAAAAAAAACTAGTAGCCACCATGTGAACCAACACAACCTTATTTAGGAGGGTAAATGGAAAACAACAGCAAAAAGCAGTAATGAATCACAGCTAAGTGAAAGAGGAAGACGCTGGCTTCCTTGCTGATGTTACCTATAATAAAACATTCTTCGATAAAGAAAATTTATGTGGGGGTTAATTTGATTTCCGTTCTGTGATGATTTTTGTTTTTTAGAAGTATACCAAGATAACCTTTTCAAGATGGAACGTCCCTCGGACTCAGCTGTGATTTTACCTAGCACTCCACAGGGCTGTGTCAATCTACCATCTCCCCAAACAAGTAGTTCAAGAAAGCAAGTATGAAAATTTAGTTCATTTAGTGGGCCAGTTCTATGTTTCTAATGATTGTGGCAGTGTGTGGTTTTAAGTCTACTGAAGATGGTTAATTAACATCATGTGTAGCATTAATAAGTGTATTAAATAATTTTAGATATCCCAAGATAATGTATTTGACTTTTCTCCACCCCAAAAATTTCATTTTGAGTCAATTATTTAGTTTCAGATCAGGTTATTACAAATTGAAGAAGCTTGAATCTGCAGGGGCATGAAGGTCTTTGTTGACAGGATCTAGGTCTATTCTGAAATTTGTAACTGAAGTCCCTAGAGCAGGGTCAGGCATGTGCTAAGTTGCTGAACAAATGTTTGTGATTCCTGGAATAAGTGTCTCAACACTATTGTAGATGAGTGATGACTTTGCTAGAATAAAACTAATGGAGCTTCCAGTAATTAAAGACATTTTGTGATGGTTACTTAAGATATATGGAGGCAGCCATCTAGATAGTGTTGTGTGCCATAGAAATGTATGGTCTTTATTTCTAGTAGATTTAATTACATCAAGAATATTTTTTATTAACATTAATGCTTTTCTGCCTTTTACAGCCTATGAGTGCAACACTTAGAGAACGATTGAGGAAAACTAGATTTTCATTTAATTCCTGTTACAGTGTGGTAAAACGTCTTAAAATAGAGAATGATGAAAATGGTCAGACCTCTCCAGAGAAACCATCATGTTCAACAGAAGAAAACTGTTTGGAATTGCAAGATAATTTTAAGCATATAGACAGTGAATTTGAAGAAAGTTCATATTTGAAAAATACCATCAAGAATATCAATGCATGTGGATCTAAACCACTTGATACTGGCTCTTGCAGTGATCTCCAAAATGACTTAGATGAGAATCTTCCCCAAAAAGGATTAGATGAAGAAAAGGCAAAATTGGTGAAACAGATTCAGGAGAAAGAAGACCTTCTTAGGAGGCTAAAACTAGTCAAAATGTATAGATCAAAGGTGAGGATAATTTCAGAGTCATTGCATAATTTTTAAATTGTTAAAATTTATTTTTAGGTAAATAGTAGGAAAGATATTTCAAAAAGAAGAAATTATTTTTAGCGTAATAAGCAATAAGCCAAGTATTCTAGAAACCTGATTTCCAAAAACTTTTAACTTAAATATGTCAGATTTACTAGTAGAATTGACGAGGCCTCTAAACACCAGGTTCAACTTTTTAAAAGTACCACCCTCTGTTTAATAGCAGTTGAAGTTTTTCTAGCACGTAGCAATATTAGAAGTATCAAATGTTATATGTAAGTACAATGAGAATAGAAGTGACAGCTGATAGTGGATAATTTAAAAAGTTAAACATGGGCCACAGAGTATAAGAATAAGCATTTTTAATAGTGATCTTTTATTCCTCCAAGTTATTAAAAGTTCCACACATTTTGTTTGAAAAACAACAAATATACTTTAGATTTCATCCCAGATAGATTGAATTAAATAGGACTTAGACACTTGAAAGAAGATAACCTTTATTTACCTGGATTATTCAAATATCTGCAATTTCTCCTTCCCTAGTAATGTGGAATAAATGATGGAATAGTAAATCTTATTTGTTGTCTCAAATTTTTAGGATTTTTCTAAATACAGCTATGAGTTTTTTGCTGAAAATAATTTTGAATATTTCATTTTTAAAAGTACAGCTGTAATAGAAACCTATTCTTGTTTTTCTACATAGTTTTGCCCTACTTAATGCTTTGATGTTTCCCTGAGGGCAAAGGGAGGCCTAGAGGTCCTACCAAACAAAATACCCTAGAACTCAATTGGAGTGTCATAAAAATCACCCTCTTTTCCCCTGGGTAGAAGGCTCATTCATGACCAAATATTTTGGTACCCTTCAAACCTACTCCACTGATTTAACAACTTCAGTTAAAATATTATGCCTGTCTAGTTATTGCCATACATTTATATGATTTGTTGTTTTGTTTTTTTTCCTGTTTCAGAATGACCTGACTAAGTTACAGTTGTTAATAAAGAAGTGGAGAAGCTGTAGCCAACTATTGCTTCATGAGTTGCAGTCAGCTATGTCTGAGGAGAACAAGAAACTCAGCCTTACTCAGTTGATAGACTTCTTTGGGTTAGATGATAAATTATTATACTACAACAGAAATGAAGAAGAATTTATTGGTGTTTAATTTCTAATTTTTCCTCCAGAATATCTTTGAGGATGACAACTTAAAAAATACACATTTTAAAGGGAAGATATATACCATTAGGGCTTAAAAGGAGGTATCTTGATGAACATCAATTTAGGGTACTCATTAGATAAATATGTAAGTTCTAAAATTAAAGTTTAGTATTTTGGATAATCTGTGAAAAAAATTGACAAAGATAAGTGAAAAAAAATTTAAATCATGTTTTAAAACATAATTTGGACAGTTTTGGAAGTCAGTTATAATACATTTTTTGTTTATTATAAAAAGATGTTTTATTTTAAATATTTAAAAAATATTTCAATCTGGTTAATGATTAAACCTAAACTGGGCTAAAATGCCTGCCTGTCTCCTAAGTTTGTGAACCTTGTTTTCATCAATTTACCACATATTCCCATCAATATGCTCTATTGGGTAATTAAACTCATGTGTCCAAAATTATATTTCCATTTCTACAAATTTGTTTCTTGTATTCCTCATCTCATTTAGTGACATGGCCATCTTTCTCTTACAAAACCACATATCATCTCCTATTTTAAGACATCATAGCCTACAAAGTCTTTGCATTCATCTCCCTTTCTAGCTTCAGCTGTGAAATAGATGGGAGTGTCTACTTAGTTCACAGTTACTTCTCAGCCAGAAACCCATCGTCATATGATTGTGTTTCTGTCTTCTCTGTTGTACAGTGTCATCCTGGCCATGTACAATAACCCAAGCTGGCCCAGTCTCGGAGAATTTAGAATTGTGCTCAGAAGAAAGCTCATTTCTTTGTGGCTGAAGCTATTGTATGTAAAGTTGGAAGCTTTGTGGCTGAAGCTATTGTATCTAAAGTTGGAAGTCCTTCCTGGGAGCTTTCTGGATTTCTGCTTTTGGGTCCTTTTAAGGGCGAAAACAGCTTTACTTACTTTTAAAAAGCCCAACTAACTAAAAAAAAAAGTTATTCCCTTTGTAGACCCCTCCTCCTCTAGGTGCACCTCATTTTCAGCCCGGTTCTTCCCAATGATCTAACAAACTTAATATTTGGCATGGCAGGAGTCCCAAGGACTGTGCTCTTGCATCCATCCTAATTGTTAGTGCCCATGACAGTAAACTCGGTCACCTCCCTCCTATCTTCTCCCCCAATACACAAATTCCTCCCTTCTTGAAATTGCTATTGTCACTAGCTTCTGAACCAAGAGGACTGGGCTAGGCCTCACATGTACCTTCCCTGGCCTTGGGGAGTTGTGCTGTTTTGTGCCAACCAGCCTCCATCAACTGCTGCTCAGCCAGAGGGCCTAAATGTGGCAGAGAAAGTGGTTTAGGTGCTGATGGTGCTGGCACTTGACTGCAGCTGCACTGCTAACTTAGCACATCCCCTGGAGTCACTCTTACATGTTCGTGTTCACTTGGGAGAACCACAGCATCAGTGGGAGTCTGGTTCTAGGAGAATTGGAGTAGATGGCACAGTAATGGGCATTTCCAAGGCATTGGCCGGAGGCTGAGGGCTCCAACAGCATAGTGGGTTCTCTAGTAACAGGGAATAGGTTATGGAATATGGGTCAGACTTATGGGAGAGTTTGGAGCATAGGGATTCTCATGAGGTGGTCCCTTTTTACAAAATCCTTTCTGTGAATTTCACCTCCATTTAATGGTACACATTACAGGCATACCTCAGAGGTATTATAAATGGTTCCTTTCCAGACAACCACAATAAAGAGAGTAATGAATTTTTTGGTTTCCCAGTGCAACTTGGCTAACTGGTACAAGAGGTCTAGTTTTTGGCCCATCTCAGATTTCAATATGTCTTTTTCACTAAGCTTATTCATTTCTAGCTTTATTAGGGTTATTAGTTGACCTAATTTAAATATTCTTATGTCTTGTCTCAGGGAATAGGGAGGCCCAAGGAAAGGAACAACCACGCAGTGGAACAGTTAGGACACACACATTTCCCCATTAAATTCACCATCTTACATGGGCATGGTTTGAGGCGCCCCAAAATAATTACAATGGAAACATCAAAGATCACTGGCCACAGTAATAAAAAAAATGTGATACAGAGTCACGAAGTGAGCAAATGCTGTTGAAAGCATGGCACCAACAGACTTGTTTGAAGCAGTATTGCCATAAACCTTAATTTTGTTAATACTCACCCGAGGATATTTTTTCTATTGATTTTTAGACAGTGGAAGGGAGCAAGAGAGAGAGACAGAAGAAAGAAACATTGACATGAGAGAGACACATCAATTGGTTGCCTCCTGCACATGCCTCAACCAGGGCAGGGCCAGGGATGGAGCTTGCAACTATGCCCTTGACTGGAATCAAACCCAGGGCCCTTCAATCCCCTGGTTGACGCTCTGTCCATTGAGTTAAACCAGCCAGGGCCTGAATAACATTTTTATTCAGAAAAATGAAAGTGAACACTTACCACTTGCTTTGTGTCAGTTTAAAAACTATATTAACTCATTCGAGTATTACAGTGATCAACATCACAATTTTTAAGACAAGGAAATTTAATATCAAGTAGTTATTTTAAAAACTAGTTATTTAAAATTAGTGCCTGAGCCAGGATCTGAAACCAGGCAAATCAATACCAGAGCCCTATTCTTAAGTGCTATCCTTAAAGCCATGGTATGTTTGACCCAGTTCATTACATTGCTTTTAAATAATATATTTTAAAGTGCTATAAAATATGAATATAATTGCTGTTAGTTCAGCAGAAGCTGAGAAGCATCAGTACCATGGACAGTATCAAAAATAGGTTGGGGTGCATGACCCAGGTACCGTTCCACAGCCAATCCCCCAAACTGGAGGATACCTTCTCTTGAAAAGTTCTGCTATTAGAATATAGTCTGGGGGGAGAGGGTATGAGGTTCCTGCTAATCTCCACTCTATGCATGTCTCAAAGCTGTGGCATTCAAGCAAAAAGCATTGCCACCTAGGGTGGCTACTAAGAAATAGAAATCACACAGACTGTTTGGTGTAAGATCTTGGAATTCACAGAGCATTATCCAGTGAAATTTATGGCATTGACTATTAGCAAATGGAGCCTGCAGGCAGTTAGTTTAGGTGACATGGAATTTGTATCGCCAGTGGAGGAAGGGAGGAAGACTAGTATGTCCATGATTGATTCCAACTGACAGGACAGAGAACTCTTAATCCTATCTTATGTACAAGGTATTTGTATTCTTCACACACTTATCCACGCTTGGGTCCATTTTCCCATGCCCCATCCCACAATTCCCTTGTCAGATAATTTTGAAGGACTTTAGATATAGGAAATGTTACCAATGGCACTTCCCTGCTGAATCAGAAAAAATCTGACTACTTCAGGAGTGATTCTATTACTAAGGGAAGTCATAAAAAATTTTGGTCATATTATTTCTCTTACCATTCCCATCTAGTATTGATCAGTGTTTGGGTGGTCAATTATAGTATTATCCTGACAATTTCTAAATAAATTTTAAATCTCCTAACTACTTTTTTCTAAATAGGTTTTATAGTAGCTCTCTTGCTTTACCTACACCAGTATACACTGGACATGGCGTTGCAGATTAAAATTAGCAATTAATTCACAAATTGCCGAACAATGAGACATTGACATCACTTGAAGATTGTGGTCAGTGTTCCATATGGTATCATCTTGGAATGTAGCAGTCCACTGGCTATAGAAGAGCAGAGTAGTTTCTGACCAATTAATCTCATTAGTCCATTCTCATCTGCATGAACATAGCAATAAACTTTTCACGGAAATAAAAAAAAAATACACATTTTTTTTTCTGTTTGCTAAACAATTGGGTAGGACACAAAATTGAATTCTGTTACAATGAACATAACATGTAGAAGATTACTAGTATGTTATGTACAAAAAATAGGTCATAATTTATGAATGATTTAGGGCTTGATAAAAATAAATAGTTTACCATGTTCTCATTGCTAGAACAAGGAATAATCTTATAAGTTCTGGCAATTTCTCTTCTGACTATAGAAGAAATGCTTATTGAGAAAACTTAGGAAATATAGAAAACTATAAGAATCATCCATAGTTTCATCATAACTTCAGGTAATTCATAAAATTAGAAATGTCACTTGTGGCTAAAAATAACTTCCTATTATCTTTAGGACTTTCTATACTATCACTGTGGAAATAATTTTTGATAAAATTTAAATGAAATAAAATAGATCTTGAATAATGAGTAAAAATCTTGTTCATTCTTAAAAACAATAATTTATGTATGCATGACAAATATTTTTATAATTAATAATACTAAAATTAAATAATTTGCTATTAAATTTGCTATGCAACTGAGAAGAGGCTCCACTTAAATTTCCTGATATGAAAGAACAAAAAACCATTTAATCAAATTAAAATATTTTTAATTGATTGATTTGGTCTTATGCGTCCCACCAGTATTTTTACATTTGCATAAGAGCAGGATATGTTTTCATCCTTAATCTTTGAACTTCAGCTTGCAGTACTAAAATCTGTTCAGCTTGTTCTTTTGAAATTTGTGCTAACTTTTGTTGTTCCATCATGCTTGCATATTGTCCTTTGGCAATTTTTTCAAAAGTCAGTTGAGACCCTATCCCAAAAATGAAGAAGAAAAAAAATTAGTTAGGTTATTTTCTATACTGTCAAATATAATGATAGCATAAAGAATCAATTAAAAGCATAAAAGGAATGCTGGTAGCTTTTATAACAACTGTACAGATTTCAGAACTACTGGTTAAGTTTAAAAAAACAAAAACAAAACAAAAACCTACAGTTGAGTAAAGACATAAAGAAAGCTTACCCATGGCAGTAGAGATGTCTTTTCTTTCTGAGACAGCCACCAATTCTTCTTGTAAACTGCAGCTTAGATTATAATTTGCTACATCTTTTTGATTGCTGACATTTCCTAGTTTCTTTAGTAGTTTTTTACGGTGCTCCACATCCTTTTTATGGGTCTGAAATTTTTGTTCCCATGAAGATCCACAAAAGTAATTTTGAAAAATATATTTTATAA